CAATTGTGTTAGTATCCACACAACAACGAAAATGATAAAATTATCGTTTGACGATAACGATAACGATTTTAAAATCGCCCACCTGAGCCATTTTTTTTCAGCCTGACGATAACGATAAATTTTTGACCAATCAGCGTGCGTATACAAGTTATCGTATCGTTATCGTTGTGTAGTGTGACCTAGGCTTTAGACTTTAACTGTGTGATAATTTATATTATTATATGGCTTTGCAGAATCCTGGATTCTGATTGGTCGACGTGCGGTCCGTAAACTGCGTATCCGGACCGTGGTCTGTATTTTCCCGTATCCGGACCGGTTTCCCGTATGTCAATTTGACAGCCTCGAATTTGAAACGTTTTTACACGTTTATAAGGTCGTTACGTGAAGAAAAAGTATCCTTAGATCATTTTTAAGAATACGAAGTCTTGGAAATATTAATAAGTACTTGTACCAACACAAATTTCATCGAAAAAGCTAAGAAAACAAGCCGTTTGAACTCTTACTGGCAACCGTAATTAGTTTTGGCGGGAAAATTTTTTGATTTGTTTACCTGTTTCAAAAAATAAATAAAGATGAATTTAACGTCTTTAATACCATATTCAAAACAAATATCATATAAACTGGGTTTATAAGCATTTTTTCTGGGGGTGGGGGTACCGAAAAAGTAGTTCTAAAGCGATTGTTAAATTAAACATGCTTTTCCGTAAACGATATTCGATCAGAAAATGTGTTTAAGGAGCCATATAATAAATGGTTTATTAACCTCGTTTTGCTCGGTCTGTACGGGAAAGTATTTGCCTTCGGTTTGTCCGCACAGACCTCGCTCCTTCGTCGCTCGGTCTGTACGAAAACCTCAGGCAAATACTTTCCCGTACAGACCTCGCTCTCGGTTAATAACCCTTTATTATATTTTAGATGTAATTTTTATTAAACTTTGTAAATATTACTTTAAACGGCCTCTTGAAAAACAGATCATAGGTGTTCTGAAGAGCTACCGTTTTAAAATAATAATAAAGTGATATTTCCTTTCCTGTTCATTAATACTGAAAAATTTGTATTTTCCGATGTATTTTTGTACGACACGACTTTGTTTATCTGATTGTCTCGCTTTATGAAACATATAAACAAACTCTGTATCGTCTATGAAATAAACAAATTTTGCGAAAACAGATTATAACGTGTGCGTAAATACCACACGTAAGTATTTCCCATGAAAAAATCTCTATATACTATTCGGTTATCCGGTTATCCGCTACCCGGGTTTTCTACCATGCCTATATCTTTCGTTATTCTTTATGAAACTAGTTGAAATTTTGTAATTATGTTTGGTTATGAGAACTATAGCTCTGACAAAAATATGAAATCGAAATAAAGTATATTAATAATAATTTAATAAAATACCGATTTGTAACCTATTAGGTTAAATTACATCAGTAAAAAGTCTCATTATACTACAATAGAATATCTAGATGCATAAAATTATTCATAACTTCAGTTGAAAAAGTTATAGAGTTCAAATTTAAAAATATTAAAAATATTAAAATTATGGTCTATTCATATGTGAAACCATCTGTGGAAAAAACGATTTCATAAATCTGTCCGTTTTACAACTATAGTTATTATAATCGCTTCCATAACGTGTATTATAGTTATTAGACCGGGAGCCCAGAGGTGTGAGCTTAGCTGAAAAGGTTACCAATTTTTATGCATACTGCATTGGTCTATGTACCTAGTGATCTAAGAAAATGGACGTCTGCCGGACACACACTGGTGGATGTGGTCAGGGGGGAGTGAGAAACTAAGCCGCAAAATGAGCTAGATCAGCTGGTGATGTAACCCAACAAAACTTAGTGCAAAATGTTCAGCATAGTGCCAGGAGCCATAAATGACCACTGACAGACAATTTCATCAGGGGGGTGGGTTCGCCAGACGTTCTTGAATGCTGACCCCAAAATTGAGCTAGATCAGCTGGCGAGGAAACCCGACGGAAGTAAGTGCAAAATGTTCAGCGTAGTGCCAGGAGTCATAAATGACCACTGACAGACATTTTAATCAGGGGGGTGGGTTTGCCAGACGTCCTCGAATGCTGACTCTCAAAATTGAGCTAGATCAGCTGGTGAGGAAACCCGACGAAACTTAGTGCAAAATGTTCAGGATAGTGTCAGGAGCCATAAATGACCACTGACAGACAATTTTATCAGGAGGGTGGGTCCGCCAGACGTCCTTGAATCTACTGAACCCCCAAAATGAGCTAGATAAACCCGATGAAACTTAGTGCAAAATGTTCAGTATTATACCAAGATGGCCACTGCCAGACATTTTGAGTGGTGGCCTCCCAGCCTACTCTTTGCGTGCCAAATAACGTATATATAACAATCCCATACTCATTAATAATTCATGAGGAAATTACCTACTCTATTTGGGCCAAATGATGATAGTGAATACCTACTGAAATACAAGTGTAGTGAATAATTCGGATCCAGTCCTCAGACTACCTAGCATTAATTAGCCTCATTAATTATTAATGAGTATGTACTCGGAAATATTACATTATGAATAACATCAGGCTCAAACGTGTCAAATATTCTAGAAATTAAGTACGAATATTGTGGCCAACGAAACTAATGTCAATAGCAATCAATCGTCGTCTTCCTCTCCCGAATCTGTATATTCGCTCCATATGTCTACATCTGACAGACTCTCTAGCTCATCGTCAGCTTCTGATTCAGTGTCACTGTCGTCTTCACTTTCCATGTTTTGCGTGCTGTTTTCTGTAAACAAACTATCTGGTATGGCAGGGCCTTCAAACCAGGTTGGCTTTAGGAGGGTGTTATCAACATACCACCCATAATCTGTTGGTGACAAATCGTCCGCTGGACAGTTGGTAACAGCTCTTGTCCACATTGCTGTGACATATTGCGTTCGCCGAATTTTCATCATAAGGGCTGGCAAGGAAGGTGGCAGCAAAGAACAGTCTATCCGTTTGATATTTGCCAGCGGATCATTCTAAAAGTGAATGAATGACATGAGAGAAAGCTTCTGGAATAGCTAGGTTTACATTGTTTATGAGTATGATTTTCTTGACAAATTTATTGTTTGCATGTCAAAATAGACAAATACGAAGGGCATCATCAAACTTTTATAAGTTATATTTTTTGTCCTTTGACCATGATTACCTGATCAACTTTGCCAGTCATTTGTATGAGTTTCTGGTATCGGGCTTCATTGACATCTTTTGTCTTGGTTACAGCATATATACGACATACAAATTCTGATGCGATGTGCAGGTCAACATCACTATTCCGGTCACCCATATCAATAAAGAGGTTAACGTAGGAGCCTGATTGGTCATTTTCAATTATGGACAGAGGTTTACTTTTGCCTTTCCTGAAAAGTCAAATAAAAAAATTGAGTTAAACATTCATGTTGGTCTCAATTGTTATCGACCAATGCATTTATTTATCATAATGCATATTTTTCTCTATCTTAATGTAGTTCGGTTGGTTTGTATAATATTTAACAGATATTTTACCAAAAGTGAAATAACCAATAATTTAGGTGCTTACCTATAAAAAGCTGACGTAAAATCACATCCAGTAAAAGCATGATATCCGGGCAGTGCGCTAGCAAGACCAGGTTTGTGTTCTTCAAGGATTTCTGCAATGTTGGTCACGTTAATATACCTCCGACTGTTTCCAATGCCACAATCCATTATGATGTCAGGTAAAGAGCTGTCTTCTTCATTTTGCCGCCCAATCGCACCAATGAGAATCACTAAGACATCAGTGTCGGATGCCCTCACAACAACATTTTCGGCTTCAGAAACATTTGCCACATGGAAGGCAATCAGCGTATCTGCTTCTTCATGATCGCCTTGTAGGTATGATGGTCTGCTAACAGTAATACCTTGCTGCTCGTCTGGTACGTACTGTAAACACTCGCCTCCGTGTGATACAAACAACGTCTTTCCTCCAAATGTTTGCTGGTAGTTAGTTTTCTTCCACTCCTTCAAGAGAAACTTTGCGAGTTCGTTCTTGAATGTTCCATTCGTGAGAAGCTTCTTTCCGCTTAACCTGATCTTCTGGTCTGGACCGGTTATTGTGTATGCTGTGTCAACTGCACCACGCTGTCTTCTCTCACTGTCCTTTATGGAGTTCTCCACGTACTTATCAAAGCAAACATGTACTTCGTGAGCCCTCCCTGAACATACCAATGACAGCATGGTTCGAGCAATTGAAGCATACGATGCACCCACAGCTGTTAGCGAGAGTATGGAATGAAGAAGAAGTCCTCCATCATAGATTTGTGCATAACTCATTGGCAACTGGGTTTCTGTGATCGTTTCCGTCTGAAAGGACTCTAGCTTTCTTAGCAATGCTGATTTCTCGGTTTTCATATGCGTCCCATCACAGTGTGCAAGTGACAGAGGGTAGGTCGTAATTGGGTAGGAGATGATCTTCCGAACGTCTAATTCGGTCTTGTCTGAAGCGACTACCAACATACGTGCAAACATATCTCTCAAGCTTTCCGCGTTTGCCTTGGCTTTCTGCGAGGCTGGTAGCTTTTTCTTCACGTTTTGAGCAGCAAAGTTCTGTATGCGCGTACGCTTCACAGG